TGTGAAGATTCTAAACTAACAAGAGTCTCATAAGTTTCCAATTTAAGGGTATTACACAGAAACACACCAAAACACATGAATCAATTATGTACTTTTATTCATTTACAATAAATGTCATCAAGTACATCAATCTGATTGGAGCTAAGGGCATACACTGTCTAACAATCATTTGCTATATAGTCCTCATTGCAGGATGTTAGAGAAGAGATTGATAATCTTGAGGCATTTGAGTAGAGGAGTCCATTTGATGTAGATCAATACAGGAATTTTATTCAAAATAGTCAAGTGTTTTAAGTCTTTGGCAGGACTGAATCTTGAGTTTGCTTTTACTAGATATCATATATTGAGTGCCAAATAATGAATCTTCCCATAACATATTCACTTGTTTAGGATGATGAAAGACAGAGGGCAGCCATCATACAATTTTTTTTAAAGTAAAATAAAATTAAATTTTCATTAAAAGAAAAGAAAAAGGTTACAACATATCCAACACCCAACTTTAGTGAGAAATACAATAGAACTTTTCAATTACACATCAAGACAAGCTATTCAAATTTCCATTTGAAAACTCAAACTTCCCCAAGGTCCTCCCTAGTAACTTATCTAGGCTTTGGTAATAGTGTAATACAAAGACCCAATCTGCAACAGATTTGCTAACAGCGACCACCATCCTTTCCATCTTACAAACTGTCTTCAATAATCTTTCTATTTCTTTCCTTCCATATGTTCCAGCAAATTTCAAATGGTATGCACCTCCAAACCATCCCTGCTTTGTTCCTTCCTCTTATCTTTGGCCATGATGAAAATATTTCTGCAGGTATCACACCCCTTTCTTCACTCCAACCTTTTTAAAGATTCATCGATCCCAGATGACCACCAACCCTCCTGAGAGAGTAGAGACCCACTGCATTCACTTCCATCCACTGCCCATCCTTAGACCCCCATATCTCCTTCTTCATTCTTATTATCAAATGACTCCAGTTTTGTTTCCTGCAACAGCACCACATCTGGATTTTGTTTTCTCAAAATGTTCCTTATTACCCTTCTCCTCCTTTCATCTCTCAGGCTCCTTACATTCCATGAAACCAGCTTCATCTTTGAGTTCAACCTCCAAACCTCACTCTCCCTCTATTCCTCATCAGCAAACCCTTCTTCCCTCCCTCTCCTCCCCTTCCTCCCATACCTCACCTCCTTCCCCAGTATCTTTCTTTCTATTCTGTTCTTCCCTTCTTCTCTCCAACTGTTCAATTGCCTTCCTCACCATTCCTTCACCTCCCAGGAAAAATAGGCCCAATAGTTTCCCAATGTCCACCTGTTTTCCCAATCTCCACCTTTTTATCCACCCATGATACAATTTTCAGGAGTAAAAATAACATGTTGGCAAGAGTACACCCATAGAGAAGGTAGAATATATGGTCGATGACTATTATAAGAAGCCAAAGCAGTACACACCAAGGACCAGTTTCAGAAGTTGCATGCTCACCTAAAGTCAGAATGGTTTTAAGAATGGGAAAAAAAATGCCAATGTTATTACTACTACTGATACTCAGACTTCCTCATCTTCATCCTTGACTTCCTTGGGGTCAAATAATTTCAAAATGATGGGGAGGTTGTGAAACCTTCTGGTTCAGCTTTAAACTAGTTTTGTATATAGCTCCTTTACCTCTGACTTATTCCACTGCCTTTGCCAAACCATGTTACATATTTTCCGTGCCTCCTCTTTTGCTCCTACCCCATGGTTAGTTTATTCTGTAGACAATGATCATATGATCAGTATGTCTGCACTCTATTTTATTCTATGCTATGCTTTGAGTAAAACAAAATCATGATAGCTGTTGGCTCCCATACTCCAATATCAGTGGTTGGTGTAGTTATTCACATTCTCCCGTTGTTTAGTTATTCACATTCTTGAACTCCATACTAACTTTTTTATCAGCTAGCTCTCTACTTATCTTACCAAAGGCCTTAATTATTGTATAACATTCTTGTCATTATGTTTTCTGGAGCATAAGCATAGGGAGATGATTAGAAGTCAAATTGGGGTCAATGGGGTCTACCTCCTAGATTAACAATCTAACCAATTTTGGAATATCAATCTCAGTCTAAAGATGTTATTTTTTATGATTAGTTGGGTTAATTAAAGTATGGCACTATAATCTCGGCCATCCTCTTCTTAATACTATTATTTCCTAGTTTGCCTCAATTTGTGTTTAGTTGAAGTATATAGTGTGAACTGTAGAAGCTTATGCTTGTTCTGATTGAGTCAGTTTTGTAGATGATAAGTTATCTATATTTGGATACTATGCCTTTATTAGAGGCAATAAAGTTTTTGGAGGACCAAAAAATAATGTGTGGTTGCTCATTCTAGCATAGAAGCAAATTATAGAGCTATGACTTGTTTGGTTTTAGAGTTATGGTTAAATAGCCTTCTAATTGAGCTGGGAATATAGTTTAAGATGCTGATAGTCATATTGTAACAACCAAGCTGCCATAAACAATGCTCAGAATCCAGTCCAATGTGATCAGACCAAGTACATTGAGGTAGATAAACATTTCATCAAAGACTGTTGTGAGTGGGGACATGTGTCTGCCATTTGTAAGATCGGGCGATCAGTTGGCTGATTGTCTTCCTAAAGGAGCTTGTGAACATAAGTTTGAAGATAACCTAGACACGTTGGGCATATACAACATCTATGCTCAGCTTGAGGGGGAGTGTTAATCAAGTTGTGAGTCAACTGTGGGCAAAACTGTAATTCAAATAACTTCATATTTAAGATATTGCAAAGGTACATTAGACACCCAAGAAAGCATCTCACCCCTGTTCCTGCTAATTCTTCTTTTTCTTTTTCTCCCACTTCTTCCTTCTCCATTCTCTATCTTCTTTTCTTCTTCATCAAACATCAGTAAATTTTCAATGTACCATACATTTTCTCAAAAATAAAATGAAATTAGAAGTCAATGAACTAATTATTTTTCCAAATAAAAATGCAATGTTGGAATTAACTAATGAGTAAAGTTTCCTTTTCTCTCTTTTGATATGTTCAGTTTATATGCTTTTGTTGTTAAGAGCTTTTATGAATTATTATTTTACATGGGGAAAATATTTAAAACTTCCCTTGAATTTATTGACAATATCTAGAACTTTCACCGACTTTTGGAATGTGAATAGACATCCATATCAATGGATTTCCCTGCTTCCTTATTGTATTATATAATATATGACTTCGAAGCAAATTATTGACATTGGACAAAAAAAAGATCAAATGGTGACACTTATATGACCCTCTAGATAGGACCATGATTCTAGTTGTAAAATAATTTTTTGGGAGAAAAAAGAGAAAGGATTAATGGTTTGATTGGCATATATTAAGGAGTATTTGTCATGTTAAATATGAAATGATGTCAGTAGGTCAAGGTTATTTTTGTCATATAAAAATTTAGGTCTGGTGCACTGCTTCCATTATAAGACCAGACAGAGGCTTAACAGTAGAGAGGTGCATGATTCATAAGACATTATGACTCTTTGGCAGTATTTAAAGGAGATTGGGGGAAGCTTTGTAAGTAAAGCCAGAAAAGGCTTTAGATAATTTCTCTTTTATTTATTTTGATTCTTGAGATACATATTGGGAGATAATAATTTTTCTGTAACATTTATGATGTATCTAAATTGTATTCTTCATTTTCTTTTTTGCAGTATGCACGCCAACATTTGCTTGGTTTTATGTTCAGACATGGTCACTACCATGATGCTTGTATGCTGTTTTTCCCTGAAAATGCTGTTCCTCCACCACCCCAACCATCATCAGTTGGGGCAGTTACTGCTGCTTCATCCCCTCAAAAGCCTGATCCTTTGGCAACTGATTATGGGACCATTGATGATTTGTGTGATTGGTGTGTTGGTTATGGTTCTATGCCTGTTTTGGAGAATGTCATTTCAACAAGATTGTCCTCTTCTTCACCACAGGATGTGGCAGTGAACCAGTATACTTTTGCCGCACTTGCTCGCATATGCATATATTGTGAAACTCATCGGCATTTTAATTATCTATACAAGTTTCAGGTACATGAAACTCCTTTCTTATTTAGAACCACTTGTGCATGTCAGCCTCTCTCTGTGTGTTCTTCCTGTTACTTTGGAAAGTGTCTGGATTTGTGCATGCCTTCATACAATAATGTTGTAACATAGGCTGGAATATTTGCTTGTTTCTTCTTCTGGATAGTGATCTGTTGTCCCTGTGATTAATTAATTATTAGGAATTTCAACTAAATAAATAGTTTAGTTTTTTCATGGTTGAGTTATCCTAGTGTTTTTGGTATGTAAAATTATGAATCGAAATAATTATGTTTTAATGGAAAATACCTTTCTTGAAAGTAATAAGCATTTTTGTATTAATAATTATGTATCATTGGAATTACCTTAAGTGTCTTGGGAATTCCTTCTATTTAATTTCAATAATGAAGATGTGATTATATTGACAGTAAAAAGGAAAAGGTGTGGGTCTAAGGAACTCTCAGACTTTTGATCAGTAACAGTTCAAAGATTTTGGATGTTTTGGATTAAAAGAGAGATATTATTTACTCCAAATAATTCTAGGGTTTTTTGGTCAGTGAATATTCAATTTTCTTGTTGTTGTTAACATTATACAAAATTTGATGGTTAAACAATATCCCTAGTGCAGCTTAGATATTCCAAGCACCCAAGAAATGTGGCAACCAAGCAATACCTGTTGGAAAATGCAATGGTGCACAAAAATGGAATTAAGGCTCAGTTTGGAAGGAATACAAATACAAATATGTAGAGTGCAAAACCTTGTATTTTTATTTGTATGTATTTGTACTGTACAATATCTGTATTTGCACTCTTTCCAAACTGAGTGTAATCAAGAAAATGTATGCATCATCAAATTGTATTGGTGTTTATTTTACAATTATGTTTTTATTGTGTGATGCAACAAAATGTTTGTGTAATTATAGTGAGTTGGTGGACCCATTTTACCAGAGTCCTCTTATCCCAAGATTTTGGGTCAGATGGATTGACTATTAGATAAATACTGACATCATAGACATGCATATAAATGCATACTAAAAGTCCAAGTGAACGCCTTAATCCAATTACAGGCTATGGGAAAATTTACAATGCATGTGAATACTTATCAAGACAAATAATGTGCAAATGTTGCCTTCACGCCTTAATCTTTATTTTGCTGGTGAAATGTTGGAGTTGAGAATCATAATAGGAGAAGGTAGATGAAGAGTCGAGGGAAGATGATGGCAATCATGTAAACTTTGAAGATTTCAAGACCAAGGTGGTGGTTATTCGGGGTGGACCAAATAACATAAGTGTTGAAACCTCAAAAGGTGTTAAGATGTTTGAGAAGGTCCAAGGGAATGGGCTGAGTTCAAGATATAATGAACGTTGGCCCACGAGAGGAGATGACGGTTGAGATTTTGACTCTGCTAAAGGTACTGCTCTGAACCTAAGGGCTAAGGAAGAAGAAATAGGTCGAGCGAAAGAAGATCCCAGGTAAAATTGGAGAGCTAAGGGTTTTGACAAGTAATCAAATCAACGTGTGAGGAATAGGAGATTTTCTTTGACACAACCAGATATAACTATAGGGTAGTAGATTTGACCAAGGAAGACAAAGGTAACAGAGATGACAAGATGATTGAGATAGAGAAAGTGATAGAGATTTAATTCAATGAAGAGAAGGGCAGCAAAACTACCATGGTAGAAGATGGGAGTGTTCAAGATGTGAAGCTGGTCGAGAATGGGGTTCAAGATCTGGGTGTGGAGAAAGATCTAATCGAAGTTATGCTAGGATCTCTCAATTTTTCAGTGGTGGAAGACAATTATATAGAGGTACGGATGATCTTTGATGGACAGGTGAAGCAGGTTGAGAATGTGGTTCAAGATTTGGGTGTGGAGAGAGATCTAATTGAAGTTATGTTAGGATATCACAATTGGTCAGTGGTGGAAGACATTTCTATAGAGGTACGCATGATCTTTGACAGAAGAGAAAAAAGGAATGCTGAGTCAGGGCTTGTGATTGGCGATGGTTGTGTTGGAAGTGAAATGGGGAGGAAAGAGAGAGAGGGGAGGGAGGGGAGGAAAAGAGTTATATTCGAGAAATGGATGGGGGGAGTTGTCTTGTGATTCCACTAATAAGGAGAGAACTAAGAACTTGCAAAAATGGCAGTTAGGTTCTATTTCTGAACCAAAATAACCAAACTGAATTGGTTTATTTGGTTCAGTTCGGTTCAGTTTTCCGTTTGATAACCGAATTTGAACACCCTCTAAACAATTGTGTATCATCATCTAAGCCATCTCTTCTGTATGTATGTCATTTTGACTTCTTTACTTTATTACTAGTGTCTCATTTACTTTGAAAAGCGAAGTGTGGTGTGTCCATCAAAATATGGAAAGGTTAAACGAATCATTGGTTCAACTGTCCAGGTCACTTGGTTGTTAATCAGGTTATGGACCCATCCTTGGAAGATTCCAGAATATGGAAAGGTTCCTCAGATGGTCTCTTCTCTTGTTCCTCCTTTTTTAGTGTTTTTGCCACACCTAACAACCCGGATGGGGACTTCCCTGTAAAAGAAATTTGGAGTAAACCTATCCCCCCAAAAATTCAAGCCTTCTGTTGGGAAATTTTCCTTGGCAAGGTTAATACATGTGATATGTTGCAGAAAAGAGGGCCTTTTGCTTGCCTTTCTCCTCACATGTGCTCCCTTTGTAAGGAAAGTTGTGAGACCTTGACACATCTATTATTATCTTGTTCCTTTGTGCATCACATTTGGGAATTCTTTTGCTTTCTCTTTGGCTGCAGGAGGGTTTCCCCGCAAAATGTGGCGAGACTTTTTGTTGGAAAACGTGGGGTTACTGGTTCAGATCTGAAAATAGAGTTGTATATATTCCTAGGATTGTGGAAGGATTGATTTAGAAAGTTTTTCTTTCTATTTTTGTACTTTCTATTTTCTCTTCTTTCTATTTTTTTCTTCTTTCTATTTTCTTTTCTTTCTATTTATTGCAGCAGCTTACTGTATAAATATGCCAATTGGCAATAGAATGAAACATATCAGTATTCTACCATT